TGCTCTTACCTGCCCCTCCTCTGCCAGGTGTCAAGGATGTAACACAAGGCAAGGAGGAGGACTTCTAGGGACAAGAGCCTCTCCTGTTCCCTTTCAAACTGGGTTGCTATAACAAAATCCCACCGACTGGTTGGCTTATAAACAACAGAAATACATTTCTCACAGTTTGGGAAGTCCCAGCTCAGCATGCCAGCATGGCCAAGTGAGAGCCCTCTTCCAGGTCACAAACTTGTATACTTATATGGCAGAAGAGGCTCAAGAGGTCCGTGGGGTCTCTTTTAAAAGGGCGCTAATCGCATTGTTGAAGGCTCCACTCATGATCTCAGCACCTCCCAAAGGTCCTACTTCCTGTTACCACCATCTTAGGCATTAGGATTTCAACATATGAACTTTGAGGAGACACAAACATTCAGACGGTAGCAGAGCCAGAGTTCCTGGCTCTTTCAGTTTTCCTCCAGCCTTCAGTCAGAAATCCCCATGCCTCACTTCCAATGTCACCCTGAAGTCACAAGCATTCACAGGACGACTGTGAGAACCAGTGAGTGTATTCGTCACTTCTGCTGACTTCTCTGTTGACAATAGAAAAATACATTGCTCATGTGTAATATATGTAAACTGGTGCCTCAAACCCATGTAGCTATGATGTAATAGCATACAGAAGGATATGCCCAGAAATAATATAACCATCTACTTCTTATGGAGAAGCAGTGGGATGTAATTGTTCAGAGCAAAAGCTGTGAAGCTGGATAACTTACATCCTGGCTCTAACACTTGCTAGCTAAGTGGTTTATCCTTTGTGTGCTTTGGATAATGGTGGCAAACTCCTAAGACTGGTAAGATTAGATGAATGGATACATATTAAGTACTTAGAGAAGTACATGGCACACATTTACTGCTCCATAAATCCTATATTAATACAGTTATAGTTTCCTTCTTGATTTAATCACTGTACAAATGGATCCCTCTTTAATTTTATTAAAAACATAGGAGATTTTTGTACAAATAATATGTATAAAAATAGCATTTTAGACAGGTTCTTCTCTGTTGTTTAATTGCTAAAAACGCAAAGAGATCACATATTAAGAAGTGTACCAAATTTTAATCGAGGAGAAAAGTCAGTCTCAAAACATTTTAGAACACAAATCCAATTTATATAATTGCTGTGCAAACAATTTTTGGTAAAACTTTCTAATTCCTGGCCTTCACATGGATAAAAAGAACAGCAGTCTCTTTTGGATAGCTGTGGATGGGAATGCAAAGGATTAAGATGTGGACAAGACATGTTTTCAACATATTTATCTAGAGAGCCACCTGAAGTGCCTACTTTGAGAACAAAGATGAAAATGTGAGATTTAGTTCTAGCCTCCTAAACTGGTCCCCTTATAGAGAGGTTCCTAGATTTAGTGCATGAATGTGGGATGGTATGATTCGGCGCGGGGTGGGGGGGGGGTTGTGACAAAATTTTATCCTCATGGGAAAGAGACTGTTTAGACTTACCTTATTTCTCCAGCTTTCTCTCCCCAAATGAATCTCTCATCTTTGTTTCATTGGGGTCAGAAAGTTAATAAAAGCTTACAGGAATACGAAAAGATGATTAAATATTTATTGAAAATTTAAATGTGATACTTAAAGGTACAGGTAGTCCTGGGGGTTCCTTAAAGGCAATATATTTTTATTTAGGGGGAAACCTTCTCTCAAAGCTTTGAGTTTGACCCACCACTTGAGTGATGTTTAAATAAAAGTAAAATAGAAAATGCCTCTTAAGAAAGGATGGCCTAGTTTTAGCATTTCTCTTGTATTAATTTAGAGGGCTCATTTTTACATTGCCCACAGGATAAAATCTAAATTTCTCATCTCCACAAGCTGACCTCAGTCCTTGAAGCGTCTTCTATCTCGTCTCTATAGTGTCTCTGTCTCCATTCATCTGTAGGGCATGCTATTGTCCTCCACACCTTTGCCCTTGCTGTTTACTTGGTTTTATTTCTGTTGAAATGTTGCACGTCCTTCAAAGGTCAGCGCTCTTGGGTGATTTTCTCTGATTTCCCCACATCTGGAACCATAGCTGTTTCTTTGCTCTCTCAATCGTTTGTTTGTTCTTTATTCATAAATGCAGTTAATTCTGTCTACTGTTTTAACTAATTATCTGCATTCTTTTTACCGTCATAAACAGCTCTTTGGGAGGGGAATAAAATATTTCTCATATTTGTATAACCATACTGTACCGTATATATGCCAGAACTCAACAAATATATGTGGAATGAATGAAAAACAACCCCCCCCCCCCAAAAGTTCTCAGAACCAGAGCATACTTTCCCTCATTTCACTTGCATGTCATCCCTTTACCTCATGGTCATTTGGACTGCCACCTTTGTGTCTTTGTATTTCTTCTATGACAATCTGATTATGGATACTCCTTTAATAATAATGTAATTTAATAATTAAATTTAACTAATCTAATAATGTAATTTAATCATTATGATTTATTTAATTATTCTAATTAATTGGATAATTAAATTTAGTAAATTAATAACTTAGTAATTAAACCTCTTAATACTTCTGATTGACCTTAGGACAATAATTTGACTTGAGGTAAAATCCAAACTTTATTCAATGTCCTTCAAGATCTGATAGTAAATCCCATGTCACCCTCTCCTTACACTTTGTTATAGCCATCCCAAATTTCTTTGTGTTCCAGAAATGGTCTTTCTACATGGAATGCTTTGTTCTTCCCTTCGCCCTCCTCTCCATCTTTAGCTGTGTTAGTCCTCGTCTACCAGATTCAAGATAAGCTGTTACTTCTTTCTGGAAATCATCTCTAGTTCCCCATACCATCTCCAGCCCTAGACTGGATTAAGCCTTTCTTCTTTGTGATCTAGCAAATAATAAAGATCAGAAAGACTTGGGTCAAGGTCTGATTTTGCTACTTACCAGGCAGTGACTTCAGACCAACGCTTCTCACAGTTTATCATGCATCAGAATCACCTGGAGAGCTGGTTAAATTGTGGCTCACTAGGCCCCATCTCCAGAGTTTCTGATTCAGTAGTTCTGGGATGGGTCCCGAGAATTTGCATTTATCACAAGTTACCAAGTGACACTGCTGATGTTGTTCTGGGATCGTACTTTGAGAACCACTGATTTACATAATCTAGTTAACCTCTAAGCTTTAGTGTTACCATCTGCAAAAGGAGACTAAAGGGGTGTTTTAAGAATTAGTTGGGGTAATGTATATAAAGTGTTTGACATGAATTAGTCCTCAATCAATGCCAGTTAATATTGCTTCTGCATTATCATTGCTTTCATTGCACTGTATTAAATTGCAGACTGAATTGACCATTTGCCAAGTAAATCAGGAACCTCATAATGAGCAGAGACTGTGCTGTTTTTATTATGGTACCTTATGAAGTGCATTAGTAAGTGCTAAATAAACATATAATGGAGTAAATTCAAAGTAAGAGCATTCCATAAATATTTAACAAAATAAACTTAGGTGGTTCTTTGTAGGTAGCCCCTATACAGAATGTTCCAGAATTCCCTAGTTCAGCTCACTATATTCTTGGTTTTCTTGAGACTGTTTTTGCTGCTTGGTTCCTAAATCACTTTTGGTTATGGTGAATCAGTCCCCACAGCTTCTGTTTCTAAGAAAATTATACAAGCAACATGGAGAATGTCTGAACGAGAAATAAATAACCACGTAGAATATTCATTTGGCTCTGTAGTTTCCTTTTTATACTGAATGAAAGCAGTTGCAGCATGAACGTATGCCAGCATTTAACACTGGAACTGGGTTAGAAATTAACATGTGAAGAATTTAATTTGCAGTTCTTGGCAAATTCATGAAGCCTGCTCTTTAGAGAAACCGTGCCTCCTTTTACTGTCAGCCTGTACCTCCATCCTCCTCTTTGACCTCAGAATCTCATATTTCATATTCACTCATTAGTTCAGCAAATATTTTTTTCAACATCTGCTGTGTGGCAACTATTATTCTCATGGTGGTGATGCCACACTAGGACAAAGTCCCTTCTTTACAGAACCTAAAGCATGTCATTTGCCAACTTGTACTTTGTTTGCATCCCTGTCTCCCACGCTAAATTGTGAGCTTACTAATGGTAGGTACATTATTTAATTGTGTATCCAGCTCAGTATTTGGTACATGGTAGATATTCATACATACAGTTACTATTCATACAGAGGAACTTTATTTTAATGGTGGTGAGAAATGGAACTGAGCACCAGGGATCAATACTGCTGGTCCATGAAAGGATTTGACACTAGATGTGTATTTTTTGACCTACAAAGTGTTATTTGTTTGAATTTCAATTAGAGCCAGCCAATAAAATGGGGGAGATTTTACATAAAAATCCAGATGTCCAGCTTCTTTTGAAAAAGCCTACATTCCTAATTCCCTCTCAGCCGGCTCCTTTAGATGGAGCATGCCATCTCCATTTTACTATAACCCCTACTATTCCCTACTGTATTACATGTGTGTGGAAGAGTGTATATGAACATGTGTATCCTGTTTGTCTACATGCATATGTGGTGAGGAAAGAATGAAATTCTTCGAATTCTACGTAAATCCACTGAAAGTTTGTCTTTATAAGCTTATAACAACCTAAGTCCAACTGCAAATAATACCGTATTCCTTTCTTTTCTTTAATGATGTAGAATGCTAACAAGGATTTCTTTCATTTGGATAATATAATATATTGAGTTATCGATCTAAATTTTCTCCAAATTGCTTTTCTGCATTTTTATAGTAGGTTTCCTGTATTTCTCAAATCAACTTGATAATTGCCAGCTACTCTTCTATTGTGATATATATCCCCATCCAAAGTAAAATATATAAATCTATCTGGTTTGGTTTTTTTCCCCTCCCTTATGGCTATTAAACTAACACTTTTCATTTGGCTTGGTTTTATCATAGGAAATTAGGATACTTAAAAATATAAAATTGAATTAAAATTGTAGTTTACCAAACTAAATCTATTCATGCTTTATTTCAGCTATCTTTAAAGAGAAGAGGAAGCAAAGATTTGCCAAAATCTGAAAAGAAGGCTCAACAGACTCCCACAGAGGTATGTGGAAATAAAATTTCAGCTAGTACATCAAACATCTCTAAATGTATATAATAATAAGCTACATCTATAAGTAGACATAGTAACCAGATACACTCATGTAAAACAGAGTTAAAGTATGCATATCAATTATGTAGCTGTAGATGCAGGAGACAATATAACGCATTCAGTATCTTTTCTTTAAAAGCTAGCACTAACATCCCTGTTATTATTGCTTTTGCATTGTAAGCACACAGCAGAATGTCATTAGTACTTTATGTGTTGCTACATTTAAGAACTGTACCCATCTTGTTCACTAATAATTAATAAGGACAATAGAATAGCTATTCCTATAGTATCAGGAGAGAGTAAAGATAGGAATGTTGTAGGAAGGGTGGCAGAGGGGAGAGAGAGACTCCTGATGGCTTTGGAGAGTCCTAGAATGAAGTGGTTCTCTCTACCAATGACTGGGGAAGCAAAAGAAAGGAAATTAAGGAATAAAAATAAAACTTAAAATGTGTCTTCAACATGGGCTTGTTAAGAGACTTAGAAACACAGCCACAGTAAAGACTAGGTCTGCTTTTAGGGTGAGCAGAGGTGCTGGTGGATGTAATAAAGGAGATTTTAAAACAGAAGAGGAACTATTTAGGGACAGCTATGATATTATGGCTCGTTAAAAATACTTGGCTAGATATTGATTTTTAAATGTGTAAGTTGGGATCTATAGGACTGTAGCATATGTACTTTTTTTTATTCTTACGAGGGGTTTTCTCATTAGATAATAATTTTAACTAAAGCAATACTTAAATATTCAAAATTTGAAAAAGTTGATCTCACGCATTTTTTTAAAAGCATAACATATTAATTGTTAATTTTCCTCTTCCTCGCTCTCCCTGCTCTATCCTTGGTTAATTTTTCCCCTGGTACTGGACATGAACATTTATAGGCCTCGGCAGTTCTAGAATCCCAGAGTCTCCTACCAAAATCATCTCCTTTTTGCACCTTTCTCATCATCCCCTTAATAAGTTCAGTTGTGCTCAGCTGAACTCAGTTGTGCTCTGTCACCACAACTCTCCCACTGTGTCTTTGCCATAATTTTATGCATCAGTTCTCTTCTCCACCTCACTGAGGGAGAGGTGCTATATGCTCCCCGTTCTAAAAATTAAGTCAGCTTTAATCAACAGTTTATTTTTTTAACTCATGTTTGTCCTATTCTTATACTTCCCATGGTAAAGCTTATTTATTTTTTTCAACAACATTCTCTAATCCAGGAATTCTTAACTGTTTGTTCCTGGCTCTGTGGACCCCCACTCCATGTGTACAGGGGCACTTTTCTGCAAAAGACATATGCAGCTTTCATCAACTTCTCAGTGGGACCTGGGGCCTTACAACAGTCAAGACATGTTGCAATCCACCAGCTTTTATTTCATGCACATAAATGTCCTGGGAAATTTACAAGGACGCTATTATGGCCTTTGAAGTCCCTGCTATCATTTTCAATTCATTTATTTTCAGAGGTTATTACCTGTCTTTTTTCAAAAACCCACCCCAGAAGATTGATTGGACTGTCTCAGATGGGAGATCTCAATTATAAAATAGTCCATAGATGATTCTATTGCTTAGTCAAGGTTGAGGACCATTGAGTCACATACTTACGTTAGGGCAAGCATCCTATATTGTTGTAATTCATATTTACATATTCATCTTCCGTACTTAGCCAGGGCATATTGTAGGCAGGGGCCATCTTATTCAGCTTGCACTCATCGGTGTCTAGTGTCTGGCACTCTGCAGCAGGATCAATATGCACTTTTGAATACTCCCATGCCCCCCTTTTCTAGATGAGCCATATGAAATTGCCAACATGCTGTTGGTTCTGACCTACACAAATGGCAATTTCATATGGTTCAACCTGCTAGTATTTATATAGCTTTTAATTTCATTTTGTTCAGTTTCTTCTATGTATTCCTCACATGTTCCTCCAGCAGCACAGTGACTTTATATACTGAGAAATGGTGTTGCATAGCAGTTAGAAACAGTGACTTTAGGGTCAGATTGCCTACGTGGAAATCTCTGCCACATACCAGCTGCATGGCCTTAGACAAGTTGTTTCCTCATCCTTAAAATGGGGTCATAATAGAGAGTTGTATAGATTAAATGAGTTAATATATGTAATTTATCAGAGTGCAACTTAGCTTCCAGTAGTGGCTAGGTTAAAGCCAAGCTCAGTTCACTTCTTTGGGCCCTCATCATCTTTATGTTCCCCTTCCTCTTATGTCATCTCTATCTTCTCAAGACTGAGTCTTTAACATACACAAAAATAAGAGACAGCTTGCTTCACATCTCAAAGCATTGTAATGTTTCTTGACTGGCATTCACTGTGAAAACAGGAGCAGGCGTTTCTGATCAGTTACATTTCAACCAGGCACTTTCCATACAATCTCTGATTTTAATGATTTCACACTTATATATTGGATTTCCCTGCCATTAGGTTATAGGATGAGGATGCAGGGCACATTGGCATACAGGATTCTTAAACTTTGGTCATTGCAGAAACTACCATACGTGGTATCTTGAAAAGATTTCTCTTAAAATAAATAAAATAATCATCATGCGCATCATTCTCCTTCCTTCTTTATCATGACTTTGTTACATGCAATATAGGTCCAACTCTTAAAATACTTTTCATGTTTTCATCCCTTTACACAAATCAAATATCCTCCTCTTTTATATTTGCTTTACGTAGTCCAGCGAAGTGTTATTCTGTTCCAGTCTGTGATTTATATCACATCCATTGCCATTTTGGTTAGATTCAAAGTGCAGTATTATAACATTTTTTTTTCTTACTAGCAAATAAAGGCCTTGCCTTGCAATCAAGGACTTTGATAGAACATGCAGCCCAGCTAGCTTCCCAGTCTCACCTGCTCTCACCTGCTCTTACTTCCCAACAGAGCCTAGTCTAGATAAAAGCATATTTGATATGCATATTGTTGGTCAACTTTCTATTCAGACATTATTTCTAATTCTGGCTTTAATGACCTTTGACTCTCCTGCTCTGTGCTCCAACTTTTAATCATTTCTTCTCAGTCTCCCTTTCTTTTTTTCTCCTCTTTGTTTGCCTCTGAAGCCATTGCAATAGCTTCAACCGTCACCTCTATGCATCTCATCCTCATGTCCTCCCCTCTGGGCCTGAGCTGTCCTCTAGGTCCAGCGCTGTAATCTTGGGCCTGAGATTCCACATGCCTGTTGATAGATGTTTCCACTGGGTATCCCTCCACCGACACACCTCAAAGGCAGCATTTTAATGTACTTAAATCCATATTCTTCCCATAAAACTTGATCCTCTTTGTTCAGTCTCTGTCCCTATTATTGGCAACACGTCCATCAAGACAACCAAGCTCAAAACATTGGGGTTATCTTTGACTCTTCTGCTGATGTGATATTAGACATTGTAATACGTCCTTGGTTTCATCCTCACAGAATTAGTTCAGGGGCCCGAACACATAGTCTCTTGCAGCGCAGCTTCTTTCTTTGCTTGTGAAACGGATTCTCACATTGAATCTATCGGTGACGTATATTCTTATCCTTTTTCACTATGCTTCTGGAGTTCTCTCAGTTCTCTGTGCTTCTCTCTTTTCTTCTAAACCCCTTCTAAAGGGAAGCATACAAGCCAGCACATCTGATTTTGTTATTTTACCTCATTGCCCTACTTTTTTCCTCTCATGCATCTTTTTCACCCAACAAGTGCAGTGGAAAAAATATGATTTTTGGAATCAGTCTGAATACAGATGTGCTCTGTCACATTAATTTGCGCTCTACCATATAGCTGCCTTATCTGCAAAGTAGACATAGTATATCATCTTCCTCGTGGGGCTGATGTGAGGATATAATGATATAAGGAATGTGATATTCAGGCTCTGCACACTCAGCAACTCTCATACTAATTCTTATTAGTGGATGGGAGCATGGGAGCATAGGAGCCCCCATCTAATTCTTATTAGTGGATGCGAGCATAGGAGCCCAGTGCCCTGCTTTCCATCTCTTCTCTCGCAAAAGCTCTGGGCCATATTTATTGAGCATCTCTGGCAGGAGCTCATTATTCTCCTCACCTTCACCATCAGTGGTTGCTACTTTTTTACCAGAATTCATCTCAAACACAGCTGACTCAGTGCTGGAAAAGGAAGGCATTTTTATTCCTTCCCATTTTTTAAAATGAGGAAGCCAAAGTCCACAGAAGTTACATGGTATGCCCAAAGTGCATACTTAAAAGAGAGATTTGGAAAATTGTCCTTGGGAAATATGTCCTTGGACATAATAATGTGTTTTTATATTAGCTCTCTGAGAAAGAGTTGATTTCCATTTTTCTGTTTGTAGTTTTCCATTTAGTTAATGATTAGGGTTTGAAGGTTGTCCTAAGAATGTGTGAGAAGAACTTCTAAAAGGGTCTACCCTTCTAAAAGGGTCTACTCCATCATCCTTTTACCAGGCAGAACCTGTTCTATCCATTTCAGACTGATGGAAATAAATTCAATTTTAAAAGTGATCTAGATGGAACACTTACCAATTTCTTCTTGGATGGACCATTCCAGTGTTAAACTTTCCCTACTTTCAAGC